GGTTCTATGACACAGTACACACCTGCTTTAAATAAGCGCACCGTCACGTGGAAAGTGCGATTTTCTCTACTCGACTATTTAAACAGCCGCTGTGTTCGTGTATTCTTTCGACGTCTCGCATACCTTAGTGTGACTCGACCCTAAACCTAAAACGAACCTTAAGCTGGAAAGACCAAGGGCACGACGGAAACAAAATGAGGAGGTTCTTAAACGAACTCAGGCATATGACGTTAGTTATATTAATTACAATTTAGAATTTCGCAGCAGTGTTTTTAATAGGGTTGGAAAATCAACCTCGATATTTCGATGAGGATGAGGGGCTCTTGGAAAATCGCCTAAAAGCGATCGTTTATACGCGAGGATCGTAAAACGGCGTAGTAAATTTTTTTCTCCACTGAGTGCGGTACAAACTGAAACAAAAGAAGCCACGCTTAAATTTATGTGGTTTTCTTTGGCCTACGACATTCTCGAAAATCATATAACGGGCTGAAGAAAGACACAGCCGAGAAAGGATGCCACTGTTCATGTGCAGACCAGTTTAGAAGGGCAACACGATACAAACTTATAGACGTAGATTAAAATAAATTCTACCATTAGGCTCTTGAAAAATCCCCCTGATACACTTTAAGTTAAAAGAGAGAGAGAAATTTACAGTAATCCTTCAACAGCACTAAATCGAGTATTATTTTAAACGCACATAACATGAGCGTACAAATGCAGACAGAAAATCCACGAGTCTTGAGGAATTCCATGTAAAAAACCGAACATACCGCTTATATAATGTCTTATCTGAAAACTACAAAATCAGCCAAGGAGTCAGAGGGAGTTTTCAACCTAATCAGATCTGCATAAAAGTACCACACGTCAGCGACTGCCACTGCCTCGTTACATAATTGCTTCGTGGGGTGTGTTACAGTTCAGAGTGGTAAGTGGTAACTCGTCCCTAGCGCTACAGACTGCAACTGGTCAGCGGTTCCATTCAAAGCGGTAATACCACGGTTTTGCTGGACTGTTACTAAGCCTATTCCGATATCTATATAAATATTTAGGCCACAGCATCATTGCCTGCATATATAAGT